AAAATCAGAATTCATTTGCTTTCATCTGTTTCTATGATAGAGAAAATAAATCACATCACATACCCGTATATCTTTTCCAAAAACTCAAAGCAGAAGGATGAGTTTGAAAGGTTGTGTAAATATTAAGCCTATCTCCATGATCTGGTCATATAAGAAATGCAGATGGATTAATTCAAGACTTCCTGATACTCTCCTTTGTGACATTAAATATATCTGGTGATATTTTGATGAAGTTTCATGGAAATCAGTCAGGAACAGAGTCCTCAATTTGCAAATGAAACAAATGATCAAGAAAGTCTTTCATATATCCCAGGTTAACACTATGCAATATTTAATTTTAGGTCAACATTGTCTCCAATGCCTATTAACACTATTTGATTATAATACATAACTAATTTTGAAGTTTCTTTGAGAAAGCACTTTAAATAGAAGGTACATGAAATATGGAAAGCAAATCTTAATTTTATATTAAAACTACTTAAATTAAAACCCAGATATCTGAAGAAATATCTACAAGAATGACCCAAATTTTAAAAATTAAAGTTTAGTGTCGCACATAATATATAATTGATATATAAATATATCAATATCTATTTAGAAGGTTTACAGTGAGGATTTTCAAAACTATAATTCATGAGATCATAGTGAATAAAATAAAACAATTTTAGTAAGAAGTGGGTATTGGAAATACACACAAGCCAATCACTCCAAACAAACAAACAAAATCTAAAAGTCTTGAATTGGAAAAGGACTGTTAGAACAGAAGAGGAGCTGGTAGTTATTGGAGAGAAAGTGAGATGTGGTACAAAGAGAAACCAGAATGCATTTTCTACACATATGAGATTTTCAATGACAAAAAATTAAGAGTAAAATAAAATAAATGTACAATTATTTAAGTCAATAAGCAATAAAAATTACTCTGTCTTTGTATATCCTTCATGTGTTATGGCCTCTTAATTGAAAAATATCATTTGAAGATATTTTGCTTCTATTTTTTATTATGTGCTTATATCTTTTCTAATATATGGGATCTGAATTACTGTTTAGCTATAAATATTTTCTACTTATTATTTTTTACTATATCACCATTTTGATACCTTTTGTTTCTTTGTTTTTGTTTATTGTTTGTGCAACTTTTGTGTGCAAGTAACAGAAATCCCAATTTGGTCCAAGAGTTGCAAAGTGATCCTAATTGTTACTTTCAATAACAGAAATACAGTGTTGGTCCATATGCTCAGCCAGAATCTTTCTTTGTTCTGTTCTTTCATCTCTAGAGGTGACCCTGTCATCTCATTTCGTGTCACATCTTCATATGACTGTAACACAATGACACAGAGCAAGAAGAGTACATAGATTAGTTGAAATATAATATAGAGACAAAATTATTTCCTTTAAATTATCTCTTAAGAATAAATGCTTCCTTAAAAATATATATCATGCATAATTCTAAGGTCCTCTTTGGATCACTCACTGACAAATAAAATGTCTGGAACTTCATGTTAGACTTCCTGTCCCTGGCCCACATGCCAACATCTGTGGTTACTCCCAGTTTGTATTCCTACAAGAGAAGAAAGCCTGATTTCCTGATCAAGTTCTAACTGTCATGTAGGTTCCTTTCTCTTCATGAAACATGCATTATGGTAATGAGTGATGACTTTCCTGGGGATGGAGGTGGCCAACAAGTCCTATGACTTAGGGTTAATCCCTCGGCCCCTTTGATGGGAGGAGAGAATCAACCCCAACAAGTAGCCAATTCACCTCCACAGATATGCTGTTTCATGTGCCTACTGTCCTTAAACAGGAATTAATATATATTTTTTAAAACCTAGCCAAATTACACGTCATTTTCAATGCCTGCCTTGATTTAATCCTTGTTAGGGCATGAAAATGAGTGGAATTGATTCTCTCATTTCATACTGGTGTCTTACATTGTGAGTCAACTTTTTACCCCTACGTGTTCTGTTAATCAAATAAAATGATTAAAACATAAAAAAACAGTTAAAAATATACCCATAATCTGATATGCTTTCATTAATTTCTTAGAACTTCTTGAATTATTAAACTAGAATTCAAAGAAATGGGTCCCGTCGTGCCATTTCCATACGTGTTTCACTGCTCACGGATCTATTTACCCTTCCTCCCCTCTGCTCTACCATGTCCTTCTGATCCACCCGAGTCGCTTCCCGGGCTTCGCCCAAGTCAACAATATTTCTCTCACATTTTCATATCACATTTGTCCTCCTCTTACCTTCGCTACTTTCTCCTTTAGGAACTCTCTCTCCCATGATTCCATTTCTAGTTTCATTACCTATACCCACACAACCACACCCACACATTATGCCCCCACAACCACACACGCGCACACACACACACACACACACACACGTAATCACATGTGCATACAACTTTAAAACATAAAAAATGTGGCTTGGCCTTTCTGAGCTTATTTCCCCTCTTAACATAACAACTACCAGTTTCATACATTTCTGTGCAAATGTCATTATTTAATTTTCCTTGATGGCAGAATAGTGCACAATTCCATTGTGTAAATATAACATAATTTCTTTTTTTCCCTGTTATTGAAAAACAGACTTTTTTCGTCTAATATATTCTGTTTACTGTTTCTCCTTTCCATATCCCTCACTCTCTACCTACCCAGTCATAATGATCCACACCCTTTCTGCCTCTCCTTAGAAGACAAACAGGCATTATGGAAAAATAATAAAATAAGATGAATAAAAACAAAGATGCAATATGAAAAAAAAAGCACAAGCAAACAAGATCAAGAGCCAAAGAGTAAAAGCATAAGGAGTGTGTGCAGGTGCAAAGACACACACTTTCACACATTCTGAAATCTATAAAAACAGAAACTTGGAATACAAAATATATGCTCTAAGGGCCTGTAATGTAGAAACAGAAATAAAATCAACAAGCCAAACAAACTGCGGCAGAAACCCACCCTGACTTAATACTGTAAGGCATAGACCTCTAAAGATGCCACCACTGAGTTTGTTTTATGTTGGCCATCTGCTGTTGGTCATGAGTCTACACTTAAGAGTTTTCGTTTTTTTTTTTTTCAATGACACTCCATTGGAGAAAACAATTTTTTTATTTTCAAGTGGCTTTCAAGCGGAGATAGCTCTAGATTATGGATGGCTGTGTGTATCCACTTCTTTAAGCTCTAGTACCGAATCTTAGTGTAGAGTGGTACAGGCCCGGTGCATGTTGCCTCTGTCTCTGTAAGTCATATGTGCATGGGTCCTGTTGTGTTTTGAAGGCTTTGATGATGCCTCCAGGAACACTTTGATCTTTCAAGAGTGTTTTAGCTATCCAGTTTTTTGGTTTTTGTTGTTGTTCAGTTAGTTTGAAAAATTGGATTGACTTTTAATTGTTGTCATAGAAGTTCTTTACAATATGATATGTGCAAGTGAAAACAATCTACAAATTTAGTGAAATCACATTGAAAATTCCAGCATCATTATTAAAACAAATAGAATAAAAAAAATTCAAAATTCATATACAATGGCCAGTAAGACGACTGAGCAGGTAACAACACAGCAACACACACACACACACACACACACACACATACACACACACACACACACACACCACACACATACACACACACACACACACACACACACACACACACACACACACACACACGGTTGTAATGAAGTACTTCATATGGAAATACAGAAGATTCCATATAGTTAATATAATTGTGATCAAAATCAAAATGATATACAGAATAAAAAGAGTGTGGTATTGGGCCCCAAACAGGCATGTTGATCAATGGAGACCGAGATATAAGACAAGCAACTACAGCCACCTGAATTTTTGACACGAGTTCCAAAAAATATGCACCAAGGATAGGAAAATCTCTTTAACAAATGCTGCTGGGAAAATTGGATATTTAGTGTAGAAGACTAAAACTACATCATTCTTTCTCATTCTGCACAAAGTCATCCAAGAGAGCTCTACCAAGTGGAACAAGTATTCAAACATATGACCCTATGTGGGTCCTTCTCATTCAAATCACCAGATGTCCCTTCCACACCCCCTTAGCTTGAGTTCACCTCCTCACACTACAGTCTTTTCCCCATCCTCTTTCTCTCAAGCACATTTAAAGCTGTCCACCACCACTATCCACTCCAGCTGTATTTTCATGTCACGTGTGCTTTGCTCTTCTCCCCCTGTTAGAACTCATTCCTCCCCAGAGTCTCCAGTAATGCCTGTAAACCTGGTCAAACGTTCTTGGGTACAAAAGTCACAGGCTCTAAGGGGGAATTTATCACTGATGCTTTATTAAGTGGACATGTAGCCAATCCTTCGAATTTTATGTTTATACTTATAAACTGATATTTCTTTCAGCTTTAATCAAATATATGCCATTTGGTTGTTGGTGATAGTTAACCCAGAGACTGAATGAAATGCTGATAAGAAGTGACTGATGTGCAGGACAGTAGTGGCACATGCGTTTAATCGCAGCACTCGGGAGGCAGAGCCAGGCGAATCTCTGCGAGTTCGAGGCCAGCTTGGTCTATAGAGTGAGACCCAGGAAAGGCACCAAGACTACACAGAGAAACCCTGTCTTTAAAAACCAAAAGAAGAAGAAGAAGAAGAAGAAGAAGAAGAAGAAGAAGAAGAAGAAGAAGAAGAAGAAGAAGAAGAAGAAGAAGAAGAAG